AATGGGAGCGATTTTTCGGCTGACCTTGAGAGGAAAGGATTCAGCGCCGCCAGGCGCCCCGTCAGCCGTTGCACCTTCTTGATGTTGCTTGGCGGCTCCATGTTGGCGATGACCTGTATCTTCTCTGGGTTTGCCTCGATGCTCCTTCCACTAACCATGTATCCTAGGAATTTGCCTCTTTGAACGCCGAAGGTGCACTTCTTTGGGTTTAGACGGAGGTTGAACTTCTTCATTATTTCAAAAATCTCCCGAAGGTCATCAGCATGGGTGGATGATCGTTTGCTCTTGACGATCATGTTATCGACATATGTTTCCATCGTCCGGCCAAGGACGACTCTAAAGATCTTGGCTACCATCCCGATGTAAGTGGCGCCAGATTTTTTAAGTCTGAAGGCCATGACGAGGTAGCAAAAGATTCCATTCGGGGTCATAAAAGTTGTTTTCTCCGCGTCATCCTCGTGAATAAATATCTGGTGGTACCCTCTGAACGCGTCGAGGAATGACATCAACTCGCATCCCATCGTCTTGTCCACCAATTGATCAATGTTGGGGAGATGGAAAGGGTTCATGGGCATGCCTTGTTCAAGTCGATGTAATCGACTCACATCCTGAACGTTGGCGGCCTCTGGGTGCGGACGACGTTCGCCAACCACGTGGGGTACTTCACTTCTTGATGTGGTTGATGGAGAGGAGCATAATGACTTCCACCTTCACAAAATCACGCCTTTCAGCTGACACATAGCGCCGCTTCTGTTTGACAGGGGTGGAGGCCGAATCAATTGAGAGTCGATGGGTGATCACCTTTCGGCAGATGCTTGGCATGTCCTCCAGACAGAGGTGCTTCATGGAACTTTAGACAGAGGTGTTCCATGGAAATGATGGTCTCTAGGTCCTCCAATGCTAGCTGACCCCAGATCAGGTAGTGGGCGCATTCGATGTTGATGACCACAAACTCCATGTTGATTTTTGCATAATGGGAGCCGTCAACGACCTCAACGGGGAGGACTAATGGACTATCATTCCTTCGGAGTCGATAGAGTCCCCGGTGAAACCGGGGTAACGACGTCCAGATCGGCCTGAGTGTTGCTTTGTTTAGCTTCAGTTGCTTGAAGGTGTCAATGCACATGATGTTGACAGAGCTGCTATTGTCGATGTAGGTGTGGTGGATGATGGCGTCGCTGATCTCGCGTCGGATGAAGAGGGCGTCCCTGTGGGAGGGAAGGCCAGGGGGCAGATCCCTGTCGATGAAGGTTATTGCTTCCGTCCTTTGCTTCTTCGGTTGGGAGGAACATGGGATACCTCGCCGATATATAGGGACTGAGCCCATTTCTTTCTCTGGGTGGTGGAGTCCCCCCGGTGTTGCCTCCAGCGATGAGGTCAATGTGGTGCTTCTTCGGCTGGGGCTCCTCAAATTCCTCCTCATCCCTGAGGTTCCCAATCTCTCACTTTTTCGACGAGGTCTTCCCTCCTCGATTGCCGGTGTTCACCCAGGTATTTTTCCGTGGGGCACCTTTAACAAACTGGAGGAGTTCACTCTATTGAATTAAGCCTTCAATGATGGACTTTTTTAGTGTGACGCAGTCGTCTGTGTTATGGGAGGTGTTCCTGTGGTAACGACAGTATGTTCCGCCTTGGTGGATGGCGTAGATCTCATTCACCGGGTCAGGGTCCCTGAGTATGAGGTCCCGCTCCTCCGCATAGTCCAGGATGATGCTCACTGGGTGCATGAGGTGGTCCTTGGTATGTTTATCTGTGGCCGCCATTGGCATCTCTCCCAGCGTTGCCCCTCAGATCCGGGGAGTGCCTGCCCCTTGAGGTCTTGTTCCCTGGGTGGGGGTGCGCTGGGAGCTGATGCATTGTTGTTCTTCTTGGATGGTGGTCCACCATCCTTCTTATGGGAGTGTAACTCGTCGGCGTCGGCATACAAACCTCCTCGTTGGAGTGCCTTGGTGTATGACCTTGGAGGCTGAGTGATGAGGCTCTTGTGTAGGGACTGTTGCGGAGGACACCCTGAAGGAGGACGAGGAGCGTGCGATCATCATCACCTTCAACCTCGTCGGTCTCCTTCGTCCAGCGATCGAGGAAGCTCCAGAGTGGTTCATCATGTTGTTGTTTGATAGTGAGAAGGTACGAGAAATGCTTCTTCGCGCGCTTCCTCCCGGCAAAGTGGGTGAGGAAGCATTGCGCAAGATCTTGCCATGAGTCCACGCTACCTTCAGGTAGTGCATTGAACAACTCGTATGTCGGTCCCTCGAGAGTGGAGAGGAACCAGCGGCAGAGGTATTCATCTGACGTATTTACAATCAGCATGTTGTTTTGGTAATGGCTCAAGTGTTCTTGAGGGTCTGTGCGGCCGTCATAGGGTTTAATTGCGCTCCCTCGGTATTTCTCGGATATGGGGGCCGAGAGCGCCCTTGCGGTGAAAGGATTCTTTGTCCTGATTTGCATGATGACGTTGTGTCCTTCGGCCAGCTCCCTCTCCAAGGTGCTGACCTTGTGCAAGAGGGTGTTGTAGACTTGTAGCCGATCCACTGTCCGGGATACTGACCCCAAGATTTCCCTGGGTGAGCCAGGTTCACGTTCACTTAGCGGTCCCGCCATCCTCTCTGATGTTGGCCGACGGCGCATGTCACCTAGCCTATTGAAGGTCGAGGTCTTACCATGCGCTGAGGTCGGCACAACTTGAGGAAGGGAGGCAGTGTGGGATGATGTGTCCTAGGCCACGACTCCTTCTCCCGTCCTTGGCATGAGAGCGCTATGGACGGTGGGGTTCTGAGCCAGACTGGCGATGATGGCCGATAGGGCGGCCTGAACCTAAGGTTCAACAGGGGGAGTAGTCTATTGTCCCGAAGCATGATTGCCTTTCTCCATGCGTTTTTTCTCAAGGCTGATGCAGGCATCTTGAGCGTTGGCGTTGAGCTTGTTGCGGAGGTCCGCAGTGGGGTCAACGGTCTCTTGGATGGCCTCTTCCTCTACTATCTTGTCGGCCGTAGCATCACCCGACCTCTCCTGGTTCTTCTGAGTTTTGGGGAGCGTTTTGATGATGAGGTTGTGGTTCGACCTTGTCCTTCCCATTTCGGTTAGCAATGTCTAGTAGCGGCGAAGGGCACTAACTTGATTGTTCTAGCTCTCAATGAAAGCACCAAATAATAGAGTATTAATCTTAGAGAGAAGTGAGAGCTAGAGAGAGAAAGAGCAATTAATATTTCTCACCCCCTATAACTACCCCCAAAGGCAGTATTTATAGGGAAAATATGGGTTTGAGCTCCCAAGTCTTGGGCTTGGGAGGCCCGATACACAATAAGGCCTCTATTGGGCTGAATACATGATTTATTTGACTAAGTTTAAGATCTAGCTCTGCCTTGGTCTCTTTGGTCGACGGAAGGCCATACCGACGGAAGACCTGGTCGACGAAGGACCACGTTCTCTGCCCCTGGGCTTTTGGACCATATTCTGAGTCGATAGATGTTTGGCCGACGGAGGACCATCTAGCCAATGGAGGACCACATGCCGGTTGTGCTTGTGTTTAGTCTTCTGAGTATGTGGGTCATGGGGTCTGAGCCCATATACTCTATCAAAATGAAAAAAATACAATTGGAAAATATAAACATAATATAATTTATCAAACCAAATTCTAATATACATTTATATTACAAAATATTAGATATAATACAACAACAACATCCAAGTCTTAGTCCTAAAAGATATTGGAGTCGGCTAACATGAATCAATACATGATATCACCACCAAAAGGAAAAGAAAGAAAATAAAGATAAAAAAGATAAGTTATTATAAAAAGAATATATAAAAAGAGATGAATATACATAAAAATGATAAAATAAAAAGGATACAAATAATGCTTATATATAAGGATAAAAAACAAGGAAAAAGATGAGGGAAAAAAATAATACGAGATCACTCCTTCACACGAATACCTGCCCCGCCCTCCACTTAGCTCTCTCCAAAGTCATGCCTTCATCCAACCCCGGAAGAAGCATATCACTTCGAACTCCCCTAACCCACGTCTGTTTGGGTCTTCCTCTCCCTCTCTTCTCTGCCTCTTCTCCACACATCCCAACTCGTCTGACAGGTGCATCACTCGGTCTTCTACGCATATGACCAAATCACCGTAGGCGTGACTCCCGCATCTTATCTTCAATAGGTGATACTCCCACCCTTTGTCTGATTGTCTCATTCCTCACGCGGTACTTCCTAGTATGCCCACACATCCAACGCAACATGCGCATCTCTGTCACACTCATCTTTTGAATGTGACATTGTTTCACCGTCCAACACTCTACGTCATACAGTAATGCAGACCTAATTGCCGTCCTATAAAATTTACCATTCAGTCTAGTAGTCATACCTCAATATTTATTAGATATAATAAATAAAATAAAAAATCTAAATATAATTGGTAAAAATATAATTTTATTTTCTTAAATAAAATATAGATAGAAAATATGGAAACAAAGTTAAAAAATTTCTTTTTTTTATACTTTAATTTTTTATTTTGACTTTACCACTAAATATAAATACTTCATATTTATATTTTATATATTTTTTCGACTCGTATTTTATCTTTTATATGTATTTTCTATTTTCTAGATTTAATTTTTTATCATTTTGGACACTTTAACAGTTGAGGGCATGAATAAAACAATTTGATCAGGTTTTGGGAGCATATTTGATTGTTTAAGTTGCTACATCAGATACAAAGTGGTGTTGTGACTTGTGGCAGTGACCAAACCTTTACCCGCTTAAAATTTTGAATCTTTTTATTAGTTGAGGGGGGAATTTGACATTTGAAGAGAGGGTCTCTTCGACCCTGTGGCCTTAGTTCTATCATAAGTGAAACCTTGTTATTCGGGGCGGACCCGGTTCCGGTCCGGTCCCGGTTCCGTTCCCGATGTCAATGCATGAAAGACCGGGTTCGAACCAGATAAATCCGATTCTGACCTGGTTCCGGACTTCCGGTCCCCCAGGTCGGTCCGATTTTGGTCCGGTTTGATCCTTTATTTCAATTCCAATTCCATAGTTGTATGATAGTTTACACGGTTGAAATTATCTCCACCAAAAAACGAAAACATTGAATTGCTATTACAAATTTCACACAGCAACACACCTTCAATGTTGCAGGGATTGTCATTAAGGAACATAGATTACTGCATTTGGTGAGGATCTCGGGTAAGCAAGCAGATTTTGTATTACACTAACAATGTCATCTGTACCCACAACATTAACAACCATCTTTTCCAAGACGGAACACCCCTTGAGCAAAAGTTGCACCAATTTCATCATTGGTTCACCTTGGAAATTTGGATCAGGCCATATTGTGATTTCAATTGACTTTAGATTCAATAACTCACTGCGTAAATCATATGTTATCACCAATTCTGGATCGAAACAGGGGCTATTCTGTAAGACCAAAGACAATAAATTAACGTATTCCGAAATTGAATTCAAATATAAAAGTTGACTTTTTTGTGATATACAAAGCATAAAAAGAGTATTTAGTTGCTGATTGATATTGAAATGTACTACTTTGATAGGTTAAAGATCTTAACTCTCATTTCGAATTCATTATACTGTTACCAAAAAAAGATACTACTAAGCAAAGTGAGGCTTCGTCTACGGCCAATATCTCATCATATAACTAAATTTAAATGTCAGATTAACAACTCTATATTAAGACATAAGCAATTGAAAGTGCAACTCCTAAACATAAATCCAAGCCTGAATTTAGAACAAGAACACTTACCTTTTTGGGTCTATAGCCATCTATGACCAATGTCTCAAGGTTTGGAGAAGATTCAAGCAGGCATATGATACCATCAATGTCCAGATCATTGCATGAGACGTTTACTTCCAAACACCGTCGGGTAGAATGTGAAAGTTCCCAGCTATTCAGTGCTATCATTGATATAACCTAGCATACATAGACAAACAGTATGAAGCAAGATCTTAGTATTTCAAAATTTACTTTGTAAGTGGTTAGTAAGTACCATTACTAGTTAAGGGTATAAGCTGAGCTAGGGATTAAACATGTTTTTCTCAACATCAAATTAACAATTTAAAAAATTCAAAAACAATTGGCCGTCACATATTGTAGACAATATGGATTCCAAGATGCAAGAACATAATATAATAACATAAATACTACTACATAGTAGAAAGTAGAAACCTTTGTAGACAATATGGATTCGAAGATGCAAGAACATAATATAATAACAAAATAATACTACATAGTAGAAAGTAGAAACCTGCATGATATCACGTCCCAGGTTGAGCTTGTTAACATGCTGAAGGTTGTCTAAAAAATCTTTGGTATTACTCATTATTTCATCACAGCTTGGATCCCAATCAGATCCAACAAGGTCAATAGTAGCTTTAACTGCGGAAGAGATGTTTGTGATCCGCCATTTTCTTCCTTGGAGATACGGGGTAAGAACTAAAGTTTGTGCTAGGGGTGCTGAAATTTCGAGCAGGGGATCCTTATTTCCATCTTCAGAGTCTCCTATCCCAAGCAAGGTGAACTTTTGAATGTTGGCCTCAAAACGACTGAATCCCCAACATGAGCTTAGAAGACACTTGTACAAAAGAGGACAACCTGCTATAATCTTGTCGAGTACGTCCTGTGGCAACTCTATGTCCTCAAGGTACAATCTACGCAATGAAGGCCAATCAACTACTGTTAGAGGAGCCAGGATGCATCTTCTCAACCACAAGTCTTTCAGATGTGGATAATCAAAGATCAAATTTGGCAGCTTGTATAAATCTTTGGAAGGTGAGGGGTTTAGCAGCAAACTAAATTTGAACACATCAGATTTGAGAGCATAAACAACCCAAACAAAAAGATCTGCAGCAAAACATTCATAGTAGGTGAGTTCGACTTCAAAGTTCACCACATATTGAGCGTTAAAAACAACAAGGATCCTATTGATCCCTGCTACAAATTTGCGAATTTTCTCAATCTCCAAACTTTCTTCGCTGAATTTGAGCTTTGTCACCAACATCCAGAGATATCTCCATCTTTTGGACAGCACACTAGTAACCATAGATTCCTTTGTATCCAAATGTGAGAGGATGCTAGCAAGCAGGCCATCAGGCAAACCACTGATCCGATCAACCGACACCTTCTGTTCATTTGTTTCTCCATTCCTTTCCTCCCTAAATTCTTCATCATCACTTGTGTCTTCATCACTTGTGTCGTCACTTGTGTCGTCCTCGTCTTCTCCTCTTCCAGCCACTTCCATCTCTTCCTGTTCAAAAAAAAATTCCTCATCTTCGTTCATTTCTTCTCCACTGTCAGTGTCAGATTCATCTTCCATAAATTCGGGTGCTATTTCGCCGCTCATAGTTGTATTATATTAGACAGGAACCGCAAACTCAACACTATGTATGAAGCAATTCAACGACCTTACGCCGACTGCGCAGCGGAGGATATCGGCTTCATCGGCACTCACCACCGCTTGCCCTATTAATCTTCATCTTCTCTTTTACTTCTTTGTGGCAGATGAAGCCTGGTAGACGGCGTCGAGCCCGGTACGGTACCATTTTGTTCACCGGGGTTGAGCATAACCCTCGTAATTATCGCTTGAAAACCTATGTTTAAAAAAACTGACCAGACTCGGTCGAGTCGACCGGACAAAACCCAGGTCGGGGAGTTCAAACTTCAAAACACGGAAATGATCAAAAACCGAAAAAACTGGGTTGACCCGGGAAATCCCGATCCACGGACACAAGAAACCTGAACAATCCGAGAAAACCCGGTTTTCAGCGTTTTTCCAAAAAAAAAAAACATTTTTTAAATTATAATACATTTTTAAACCAATAAAATTTTAAGGATTAAGGGTCAAAAACACCCTCCTACCGTATCATAAAAATCACTCAAACCCATCTTCTACAAAAAGTATCAAATAGATACATGTACTACTTAAAAATCATCAATTGAGTCAAACTAGTGGATGACAAATTGACAACTCCCTATAAGGCTGGTTGCAAATAGGAGGGTGAAAAACCAAATTTGAGGTTTTCACTCTCAAATCATCTACAACCCATGTATTTGTGGGTTGGAAAGTGGGTACCCGCACGGGTAGCTCAGTTAGTCGAGTGGTGAGAAAATTGGACCAAGTAGCCAAGGTTCGAAACCCGCAACGACCGTGTGAAGGTCAGAACCTGAAATAAGGCTATACATCTGGTGTGCACGTGTATAAGGCCTACCGCCGCTTTGCTGATTGAGTAATTGTGATTAATTCCCCCACAATCTTATCGGGTCGATGTGAGGACTCCTGGGGTGGGAGATTCCACTTTTTAGACCAAATGGGTTTAGAAAGTGGGTATTTGGAGGCTTATTCACAGAGACAAATGCAGCCGCAACAATGCCTTGTGCGTACATGACAATTAAAAAGTGTGTAGGGTTGAGAATATTAAGAATCCCAATTTTGTTTAATGTCTCATAACTTCTTTATTTATACTTCAATGTTTATAAAAAATATACCAAAATTTTTAATTTTTTATAAAGAGTATCGTTATATATTTTAATAGGATCATATTATACTTTCGAATATTATGAGAGTGTATTAAATGCTTAATAAGCAATATCATTGTCCGGTTTTTCAACGTTGATCGGGTTGACCCACCCGGCCCGGGCTGACCCGTGACCCAGTCATGTGGCCGGGTCGCTTCCCGGTCCGGCCGGTTTTTTAAACATAGTGAAACCCCCTATAAAGACAAAAATTAGCTTTAATATAAAATCAATACGGAGTATAATATACCAATATAATTTATAAATTAATTCCTAATATATGATTATAATCATGATGGACGAAAAATGACTTAATAACTATTAGTGACTACAAATATGTTCAATTTATTTACCGTAATGACCATGGAAACATATTTATAGTAACTTTAGTCACATTTTTATCCATAAATTTTATTTCATAACATTTTTAGAACACCTATATTATCTATGTTTATGCATCTTAAACAAAATATTATGATAATGGTCTTCTTTGAATTTGAATTCTTGGTGATTTTGGAAACTAATATTTGTGATTTTTATTAATCTTATTTGCGGTTTGTACTTTTTATTAATTTTATTTGAAAATAGATTTTAAAATATAAAAGAAATATGAGTGATTTCACATTCGGGCTTTAACCAGCCCAACCCGAACCCGGATCGAACCCGGACTACAAAAAACCCGACTCGGACCGAATATAGTGGGCTTTGTTTCGGTCCCTAATTTTCATAACCCGATACCTTACGGGTAATTTCCGGGTTTGAAAGAAGATGAGTGATCTCTGTTTTAATTCTGTGTTATTTTGTTTGTGTTTTTCTTTCGAACTGCATGTTGTTTTGGGTGTGTTTTTATTTCCAAGTGATGGATTATAAGTCTGGTTCAATTAATCCCATTACAGGATCAACAAATCTAATTTCTTCTACGGAGGTGATGGATTCTAAGTCTGGTTCAAGGGCGGACGGCAGATAGAAGGCTTTTTGTCTATTTCTACCCTGTTTACGTTCCGTTATCATAATTTTAGCCACCTTCATTCAAAAAAATTATGAAATAGGAACCTATAAAAAAGTGAAATAGAAAACTTACCAAATATCAGTCTGTTTACCAAATAGGAAAGATTAGTGTTAGAGAAAATTCATTATATAAGACTAAAACATTAACAAAGTGCACATACAGAACTATCACTATTTTCTTCCTGAAATAGGATTTATTCACTCCTATTAGGGGATGATTATACTTTTAGTAGGATTAAATAAGTCTTATTTTGGGAATAAAATACATGTGGTCCTTCCTATTTGTGCACTTTGCCAAATACGTATATGTAAGTTTACTAATGTGCATGTTAACCTTGCTTCTTGATAATTTCTTCACCATTCGTTTGTAGAAATCTTTCCTATTTTGGTGTACAAATTAGTCTATAATTAGTGTTAAATTACGAAATATTAGTCTATAATTAGTGTTAATTTTTAATTATGAGATAGAAATTTTAATTAGTGTTAAAAATCGTATTATAAATATGTGTTAATTAGTGATATTTAGATATTGTATGAGGTATGAGATGGAAATACAATAAATTGTACTACCTCTGTCTCATTTGTCTCTCCCTTTTGTCTCATTGTTAGCGGGACGGATGGAGTATATGTTATATCCAATTGTATCTATTTATATATAAGGATATTTTTACTTGGACTGTAATGGAAAAGTTTACAAATAGGACCTAATCATACTAAATTTCCAAAACTAAGACTAACAATTAGCGTAAGACTAAAACATACCTACTTTGACCATAATACCCCTAATTTTTAATTAGATAACAAATGCCTACTGAAACACGCCGCTGCAAAACTCATCGCAGATCCTGCCCTGCGTGTGTCGGAGTATGCCTGCAAAATTCCGTTAATTTGCCATCAAACCGCCTGAAATCAAATTGTCGAACTAATGTAAACCTGTTGATGGATGGTGGTTGTCGGTGCAAACTTCCCTTGATTGAAGAGGGAACATTCGTACCTTTTAGGTTTGCAGTGTGTCAACTATTTGATTCGAAGCTTGATAGGAATCCCTTGAACACCGCCAGTCTTGCGTCTTTGTCGCTTGGAGGCGCTACCCTGAGTTGCCCTTACTTGTCGGCGCACATGCCTGTCGGCGCTGTCTTGTGCTGCCTGGAGGACGAAGCATTCAAAAATCACCCCAGAGATCACACTTCAATACGAAAGTAGAAGTGGTTTTGGAAGCTACACGGACCAATAAGGTGAAGCCTGATGCGGATGTTGATGGCTAACTTTCCTGAGAATTGGTATTGGATTATGAAGAAGATTGACATTTTTTGCCAAAGTTCAGCTCCAAAATTGGAGCTGCAAGTTTTCTTTCAAACTTCTATGCTTCTGAGCTCTAATTGCATCCTTGGTGATCGGTTTTTTCTTCTTAATAAGATGTAGTTGCAGAGAAGGCTGATCTAGAAGATGAATTTTATATCAAGGCACCATGATTTCACAAGAGGGATAGAAAAAATCAAATTGATTAAGAAGATGGAAGCATATGAAGAAAAGTGTTGGCTGGCAGTGGAAGTCTAAATAGACCACAAACATTAAATGGTTTAATTTGCTTAAGAAATGAAGAGCTGTTAGAAACCAAATCAAGAATAGAGTAATTAATCATGTGTAACATAATGGTTGGAATACTACTGATGATGGTTTGTAATACATATAAGTAATAGGTGATCTAAGATGTAAAACTTCTTTCTTTTGATCATTAAATATTATGACTACATATTAGTTAGGTTTTTATTTGGAAATATCACAATATATAATATTTGGTTTGAAAGTATGAGTATATGGAATCTCCCTTTTTGGTGTAATATCAAACGCTTGTTCATGTTTTACTTGATATTGAGTTCAAGTGTAATATCTGCTTGAAGTAACGAATAAACTGCAGAGTAGGCATTAACTAGTCCTTAATTGCACTTGTGTAGACACTAAATTCCAACAACTAAAGTACAAAACTTAATACCAAAGTATAAACAAAATATGAAATTTAATAGATTCAATTGTTGAAATAATGCTTAAATATATTTATCATGCATATAGTAGGAATAATACACATCACTATGGGTCATCCGGAAACAGTCTCTCTGTGCTTTGGTACAGGGGTAAGACTACGTACATCCGACCCCCCCCCCTTACCCCACCGTATGTGAGAGCCTTTACGACACTGGGGTAAATGAAAATGAAAATGAGGTATAATACACATCACATGATATGTATATAAAGTTGTTAAAAGTAGAAAATGTAGTCTTACTTAAGTGTTATTCATAAAGTTCTTTTGAAATATGACTATTTGTAATTATTATGATTAGGATCTTGGGAAAGAAAAGAACATGTAAAATTCCTTCTTTTGGTCATTAAGCATTATTCCAAAATATTGGTGACAATCGGTTTGACTATGTGTAATCTTATTTTTTTAGTGACATATCAAATGCTTGATCACTGTTATTTAGTGTTAAGTTGATTTATAATGCTGGTTGAATTATGGAATACTGTCCATAAGTAGACAATAACAAGTCCTTAATGTCTCAGGCGCAGACATTAAATTCCTACAGTTAATATAAGTACAAACTTTAGCACAAAATAAAGAACCAACTATGAAACTTGATAGATTCAACTCTTGAAATGAGATTTGGAAATATTTCTCATGCATAGGTAGAATACAAATCACATGAATATATGAACACAAAGGTCGATCTATACATTGCTTTTGAAGACAAAATACATATAGTACAATCAGAGTGTTGATGTGTTCAATCAGTACTTCAGCGCTTTCTATCTTCAATTAGCAGGTGTGTGAGACATGTTGCTTGATTGTACCTAGTCGGAGTAGAATATCATCGCACCCATTTCTCAATACCTATCTCATGCAAATTTTGAGTCTACCAGTAAGATTTCTTGTTGTGACCACCTTTCTTTCACCAAGAACAACACCGATGAGATGCAAATTCACCAATTGAGGGCATGTTCTTCATTTTGTACAAATAAGGTTTCTTGTCGAGACCACCTTTTTTGCACAGGCACATGCCCTTTCTTTCAAATTAGCAACAAAGTTTCAAGACGTCTTAGCACTAGCAGGCTTCATGGATGAA